TATACACCTTATTCAAATATTCGAATCAACTTTGAAATATTGCTATTATACTAGTTTCATAGATTTCATGACTCTCTTTTAACATGTTAGAATGCTCCACATTTAAATAAGTCATAACTATCTCTTGAATCATGGTATAAACAATTTCATTATAATACCATAGACTAAACATTTGAAGAGAATTGTCCTTTGATCCCATGAATGTAGCAAGGGCTTGGCATTCATGATCAAATTATCTTCTCCATGTATCAATCTTCTTACTTCATTTTAGCAACTGCACATTCTTGCAAATGTCAGTAAAATACTCAAGGCTTAGAAGTAATGTTTTGATGGCATTATAAATCCATATATTTGATTGAATACAAAACATGGAAGAACTAGTCATATTTTGATCCAATGGAAAGTAGCACGGGCTCGTGATCCATGATTAAATTTAACTTCTTCATGTTCCAGTCCTTTCACCTCAAATATACATTTGGGCAAGTTTGATTTCTTAGTCCTTTTCTTGTTATGGAAACGAGCAACTATCAGAACATGTCTTAGAATAAGCCTTCCTTTGTCCTAGGTATTAGGGCCTAGATTAGGTATACCCATACTAATCGCCTTTTAAACCGTGTGCAATTGGCTTTCTTCTTCTTGACACTTCTATTAATGATAGTAAAATATGGGAGTGTTTTGAAGTTTGAGTTTCTATGACTGCCATGTTAATTCCAAAAGGAAACTTTAACATGCTCCACAACTCCTTCATGGTCATTCCAAGTTGTTCATATCAAAATCAAAATGAATTGATTATATGTACATGTCAGCTAGTCGATTAATCCTAGTCAACTCCTAACTCAAGGAAATTCCATTTTACTTCAATATGTCATTTTACAACGTACATTTGACAATGGCTCTTTCTAACACTTTAGAATGCAATGTTTGAAGTAACCAAGGAATAGCTTTAACAAAGGCATGATCTTTCTTTTCGTTTATGAGAACTACTCCCAAACTACGAACTTGACAAGATTGATCATCCTCATAGCTAATCCTTTCAAAGGTTTTATAGCAGTAGATTTTAGTGGATAAGGTTATAGACATCATTCAATAACAAATTCCATTATAGTTTGTTTTACTTATCCTTAGAAAATAATCACCCTAAATAAAATTATTTTATAAGGCTAGGATCCATATTTGGCTCCATGATGTGTAAAGGGATGCAGTAAACACACCATAAAGTTATTTCGGTAGGAAAAGCCCTTTGCCAATTTCGATCACCACGAAATTCCTAGATCTTTGAGATTCATTGACTATCAATGGCATGTTAATCTCGAATTATGTTCATCTCAAATTCAATGACGGGGTCGCCGCGGATCATTGAACAGATGGTGAATCGACCATACAAAACCGCATGGTCCCCGGCTCAAGTTACGCTTGAGATTCGCGAGTTCCACATCATTCTCTACTTATACTCTCCAATTGACGTGCCGGTTAACCACGCGAGCTCCATCAACAAGTTATAAAGAGAATGTGCAACTTTTATGGATAACATAAAATTCACATTAAATAGATTAAGAATTAACCTTGCAAAATCGCATGGTCCCCGACTCTTGCGAGTTCCATATCATTCTCAACTATACCCTATATTGATGTGCCGGTTAACCACACGAGCTCCATCAACAGAATATAAAGAGAATGTGCAATTTTCATGGATAATATAAACTCACATTCTATTAATAAAACGGGATTTTGTTTTATACTTGTATTTAAATACTTTTAGATTGACCATTATCACTATCAAACCCTTTCGGTAACTCCATTCACAAAATGCAATTGGGCGGTGAGGGTGGTAAGCGCGAAGCATATTAAAAACCGACCTCATTAGGAATCAAAGAGACCTCCTTAAACCCCTACATTAGAACGGGTGAGCCTAGTCGATGTAAGACTGACAATGTCAATATTTAAACACGCGAGGGCGCATGTTGTAACTTTCTTATACATATAATAGACACAATTCTAATATATATAAATATAAGGGGTAAATTTAAAACTCTTTAAATTTAGTTGTCTATTATTAATTCTAATTAATTGCGAGGACGCAATGTAACAATTAATAAATCAGAAGGGGGTAATATTCAAATTTATAAATCTCTTTTATAAATAATATTAAATATTTAAATTCACTATTAAATAGATAAATATTCAAATTCAAATAAACACATAAATATTCAAATTCAAATAACATATTTAAACAATATTTATCTATTAATAAATATTCAAATTCAAATAAACACATAAATATTCAAATTCAAATAAACATATTTAAACAATATTTATCTATTAATAAATATTCAAATTCAAATAAACATATTTAAACAATATTTATCTATTAATAAATATTCAAATTCAAATAAAACATTTAAATAATATTTATCAATTTCCAGATTTAAAACATTTTAAAATTTGGTAATTATCCATATTTGATAAAGCTTCATATTTGAAAAATGGAAAAAATCTGAAAACCCTAATTCTGCTGAGCTCACGTCGTGAGCTCTAAGCTCTCACGTCATGAGCTGCGACTAAGGTATTATCAATTACGAATTTTTCAATAATCCTTCTACCATTCAATTTCAAACAAAGTTTTACAGAAAACATGGATCTAGGGTGAACATAACCATGAACCAATGGCTCTGATACCACTGTTGGGTTTTCTACGCATCAAATACACTCTAAAACTAGGTAGCGGAAAAATCGAAACAACGATATACCTAAGTGTACATGCAACCTATGGATCTATGGCTTCATGCTAATTACATCAACCCTAGAAAACTAAAACATAAGTAAGAAAACATACCTCTTATGTAGCCCTTGATCTCCATGCTTGAGATCTTGAACCTCCATGAAGTTGCTTGGATGAAAGGATCCAAACCAGAATCCCTCTAATGGTATCACACCCAATGACACCAAAGAGTGGAATAAAAATAACTAGGAGAAGGGTCAATCTCACAAACCCAAAGGGGTTAGAAATCGTCCCTAAGAGAGGGAGGAAGAAGGGATGGCGAAACTTCAAGCCAAGGTGCAAGGAGGAATGAAATCCCTAAGGCCCTATTTATAGCCTTGGATGCCTCCTAGGGTTTTGTACTCCTTCCCATGTGGGATGGATGCATAACCACGAAATTTCACTCCTTTCCCATGTGGGATGGAGTGATTTTCATCCAACCCTAATTCCATAAGGTTCTGGAACATTCCTGATTAACCAACTATCGATTAATGAACATTCAACCCTTTAATTAATTAAACTGTTAATTAATTCCCATAATATATTTGCAAAATATTTTTCCAATTAGTTTCTAATTAATTATTAACCATAATAATTAATAAACCAATTTCTCCTTTATTTATTCTACTCAATTTGGGTCTTGAGGGCAACCCAAAAGGACCCTGCTATTATTAGAAATATTACCAATAGTTAATGACCTTGGACACTATTCCAACAGCCGAGTCCAAGGCAATCTTCAACGGACTCGCCGAGTTGTTCATCCAACTCGTCGAGTACATGGCCATCTTCATGTGGCTCGCCGAGTTGACTATGCAACTCGCGAGCCCCTTCAGACCTTCACCTATACAGACACTTTTTAAGCCATGCAGGGGATCCATATTGCAAATCCAAGCTTCTAAGGCATGTTTATCACGTAAAGTTGCAAACTTTACGTGCATACATGTCTCTAAAGGCTCTTAATGACAAATACAAGATTATAATGGGGCTTCACACTCAAGGGAGGCTTCATACATGACCAAGCTCGAAACTTTATGAACCTAGAACCCAAGAAGGGTCCAGATCTGAAGTTGCAACTTCAGATCTAGCCCATACACCACAATAACATCATAGCCAAGCCAAAATAACCCTAAACTTCACCCAAATGAGATCTAGAAAGAAATGAGGTAAAGGTGGCGACTTGATACCTTGAAATGATGCTAATTGAGGTAGATTTCTGATCCCCACAAGTTCCTTGCTTCTAGCCACTTGTTTCTCCAAGCTTTCCTCACTAAGATTCACCTTCCAAAACTAGGAAAACACACAAAATGAAGCACACACACGAATTAGGGTTGGTTTGGTTCTCAAAAGACTGCAAGGGGGATAAAGGGAGGCTATTGATCCTTTAAATATGGTGCAAAACCTTGGTATTTAGGGTTTCATCTGCCAGCTCCTACTCGTCGAGTCCCTTCTTGGACTCGGCGAGTAGGTCACTAAAACACGCGGAGCAACCCGCTGCTACTCGACGAGTAGGGCAACCAACTCGTCGAGTAGACCTTGAAATCAAAGAAATTTATATTAAATCAATACCTGAGAATCGGGGCATTACACAAATATAGCAATTAATCCAATAATCAAGGTTTCATCTAATCATAAACTCAAAGCAAATGGTTTTGACATCAAAATCAGAAAGTAAAAACATAATAGTATCACAGTGGAATGCTAAACATGGTCACGATAACAAACGACATGATAACCGACACGAATCCGCTCTCTAATCCTTCAGATCTTCGCTCCTGTCAGCTGAACGGCCTTCCGGCCGCCTTCTAGACCCTCAAAACGGCAGTTATGAAGTTTTCTTGTCGCACAAGTCGAAGTGGAATATCATAGATTATGAAAATGGGTGAATGATATGGGATATTTATAGTTGAATGGAGATGGGATTCATATGGAATATTAGAGTTGGATTGGGATAAGGAAACTAATGATGACTTAGGGATTAAGCAAATAAAAATAAGGTAAGTGGTGCTTGGGGAATAAGTAACTTGGAGGAAATTTCCGTCCAACTTTTATACTTCATCTTCAAGGCCGATTTTGGATAAGATAAATGCCGAATTATCAAAAAGGACCTCTCACATAAGTCGTTGGAAATTTCGTCTAGTTTTCAGAACATTCTGAATCTCGTCAGTTCGACTTATGATTCATCAGATATACCCGAAATACTGAAGAGGGGTCAATCTGCCAGCAATATCCTTTTTGCATCTTTTTAGCTCCTTTTTCCTCCTTTTTCCTCCTTTTGCATTCCAACTCCCATTTTAACTGTAATTTAACATTTCAAAGCATATTAAGTATCTTTTAGTTCTAAATAACATAAAACATAGTATAAAGTAATCAGAAAACATCATAAATATATGCATAAAAAAGACGTTATCACCAGGCCTCGCCTGATATTGGGCCCCGCCCGAGACACACATAATCATATAACCATATAATCACATAAACATATAACCTTACTAGCACATGCAACAAACACAAAGACTATAACATACCATAGAGTCATCGAGCCTCGCCTGACGTCGGGCCTCACCCAATAAGCATAAAAGCAGGTACTAATAACCATCATGGAATATACTTATCAGGCCCTGCCTGGCATCGGGCCTTGCCCGGTTAGAATACCATCACATAACATATGCAAGAGTTATGCAGACGTCTAAAATTCTATTGTGAAAACCATGGGCTGGCATTGCTGCCTTCGACCCTCTAAACCTAGTGAGGAAACTCACCTCGCACTACCCAATCATACAGACGATCCCTGGCTGTTGGCTGACAGATCCCCGAACTGTCAATATCAAAACAACACCCAATTAACAATTGTGTTCCAATCCACAACCATAAATCCATACTCGGGGTAGAAAGACCGTTTTACCCCTAACCTAGCTTGGTCCAAGACCAAAGCCCAAACTCATCATCTTAAAAGCCCAAAAGCCAAATAATCAACCAAGGCCCATTTATGGCACAATTTTCCAAATTGGGCCCAAATCAGTTAAATTGGCCTTACGTTAAAGCCCAACCAATTTTCCTCGTCCAAAACACTTGTACTCAGATGGCCCAATAATAACTCAAACACCCAAGCCCAAAAGAAAGCCCAAACTTGAAGCCCCAATTGCAAAACCCCTCCCGACTGAGTGTATGGGGCGTACTCAGCTGTACGCTAAGCGTACATGCAATTTGGCTTAGACACTGCGCGTACAGACTTGGACGCACAGCGTACTCATCCATTAAGACAATTTTGACATAAATTCTAAATGCTTAAGTCCAGAAGTCCAAACCATAGATCTGAGTCCACACAAGTGTCTAGAACCATAAAGTCACCGACTTGGTGACTTTGCATGCCCCAAAAGAACCAATCTTCAAGATAAAGCATCAAACTTTCACTAAATGGACACCAATTCATGCATGGGGGATTCCAAACCCTAAAGTAAAAAACCTTATGCATCTAGAACCCTAGAAACACCAAGAGTGGCAACTCATGGCTGTTGGAGTAGTACCAAACCACTAGATTTCATTCTTGGGGCCAAAAAGGGACCAAAACTTACACAACATAGATCTATACCAATAATGAACAAGATCAAATATGTTTACCTCAAAAAAGCTGGAAATTAAGCACATACTCTAGATCCACAAGCTCCTCCTTGATCCACAACCTTGGACCAAGCTCTGTCTTCTTGGATATGACTTAAAAACACCAAAATGCACACCATGAATTCAAAATCACAACCATGGAGGCTTAGAGACGGTTTATAGGGTTTTGGGGACTTGGAGGCTAGTAAAGAGGTCAGCCCTAAAGACTTTATGAGTTTAAATAAGGTACACATCCAAAAATTAGGGTTTTTCTTTTCCCCTCGTACGCCCCGCATACGAGGTCTCGCAACCCTGATCAGACCCTCGCAGTACGCTAAGCGTACACAACATTACACCCAATGTAATTCCCTTCGCATCAGTACGCTGCGCGTACTCCCTAGGTACGCCCCACGTACTACGGTTTCCCCTCAAACCCTAAAAAACTACGAAGGCCATAAGTTCTTCGTTATAATCTGGTTCCAACGATCCTTATATCCATGAAAAGGTAACGAGAAGCTTTACACTCTAATCAACCCGTACCTGCCTTACCGTTGCGCGAACAAACCTCCAATTTCCATATAAGTCCGAGCTGACAAATTACCGAAATACCCTTTGACTCCAAAACACCAACCGAATACCTGAATCCTTCAAAATACATAATTCACCTTAAAATGAGCCCAAAACTCAATTCTTCACAGGTCCTAAGCCTGCTAATACCCAATCCTTGATCACCACTACAAAATGGAAAATGATTTGAAATAGGGCATTACATGAAACTTAAAACAACAGGGACTGCAACTAAAGCAAAATTTAAAACGACAAGGACCAAACTATAATTATTGCTAAACTAAAAACAACGGGTACCAAAAATGTAATTAATGCAAAATTTATAACAACAGGGACCAAACTGTGATTATTTCTAAATTAAAACAACGAGTACCAAAATGCAATTAATGCAAAATATAAAACAACATGGACCAAACTATAAGTATTGCAAAATTAAAATCAACAAGGACCAAACAGTAATGATTGAAAAACTAAAAATAACGGGGACCAAACTGTAATTACTGCAAAATTTAAAACAACAGGGACCAAACATGGATTGTTATTAAAAAGTACATAGACAAAAACATTGGCTATTGTAATTAATAGCATCGTACTTACACGTCATCCATTATAATATCAGAGATGTACTTCATACATTACATTACATGCTCGTAACAAGTTGCATCAAACTACCAAAAAGGCTATGTCAACATAAAGGGTATCCTTTGTACCAATACATTTGCTCTTTTGAAATTGGAAAGAGGGACGGGATGCAAAAAGACATCGCCTACTTTTGTAAATCCTTATCCTTGTTAGGGCAGTATTGGAAGATTGCATGTAAGTCTCTGATGTTGAGAAGTTGAGTTTGTTCTTATCATTTGGTGTAGTTATACAAAGATGATTGTTTATGGTTGAGGTAGCAGATTTTGGATGTTACAACTTACTTTTTGCATTGTGATTCTTTAGTATCTCAATGACATCTGATGATGGGATCACTACTAATGTTGAACATGACAGTGTAGTGGTAGTAGTACATGTGTCTGCCTTGTGCTTTGAACGTCCGTTCAAACTCACTACGTTTGCAGCAAGAGGTTGGCTATTTGCAGCAAGAGGTTGTCTATTTGAAGCACCTGTTCCCCTGTGTAAGCATATTATCAATTAGAAGAGAACTAAGAAAAGTATTATAATTTGTTCATTAGAAAATACATACTATGAGACTATTGCATGAAGAGCTACATATCTCCCAAAACTACTATTTGCTAGGAAACTTTCATGATGTTAGTTGTATCATGTATTCATGTTTGTGAGAAATGAATAACAAATGATTCCATCATTCAAATTTCAAAAAGCTTATCTACATTTCTCACAAACCCAAACTAGTAGAATAGAATCAATGATGAAAAATCTCAATTCTAGAATACCATGAAAATTGTATGAAAGCCATATGGACACAACTTATTCTTAAACCTACCAAAATATCAAAGAAAAAGCTTTGTGATACACAAAGTATACCACCAGCAAAATCTTAAAATCTTACTCACAGTGATACCAATCATCCTTTCGTTACAATAACGAATTTATAAGTATTAAACTCGAAATTACCTGAAATTATGGGTTTTCTGACCTTTGATATGCTCAAAGCATCAAGACTTAAACTCTACAACAGGAAAATCAGAAAAATTGAACGAAGACCTACATAAAAAACATGAACATTCAAGTCGTACATCTCTCCCTCCATTAGGCCCACCAAAATGCAATCCTTTGTCGAAACACATACTACTATCACCACCAATCTGGAAATTACCTCCAGACGAAAACCCTAGCTAATTAGAATAAAATGATGCTACGAATCAACATGTTAACGGAAACTGGAGATGTCGAATGTCTGGAGGCGTAGAGAAGACAAAGAACTTGACTGCTGAAGAAGATAGAGGGACGAAACCTGGTTGTCATTTCGATTTTGGTTGTCATTACGATTTCATTAGGAGTCGATCTTCTGATCGTTGAAGGAAGGGAGGCTATATTGGGTAATTGGGTCAACCTAGTTTTATGGATGAAAAACTTTAATATTAAAGGGCAATACGGTGAATTAGTATTTTTTTATACATTTAAAATATAGAAAGTGACTAAAAACATTTTTTGAAAAATGATTAAAAACTAAATTTAGGTGAATATGATATTTATAAAGTTAAAAAGGGTAAATATGATATTTTGATTTTAAGTTGCATAAATATGATATTTTGAAGCTTAACAACACATAAAGAATATTTTCTGGAAAAATAAATACTACACACATGAAGCACCTCAAATAGCAAAATGTTGTGGGCCCTTTTTCCACTTACATTATACTTTTAGTCAAAAAATCCAAGACTCTTTATATTCATCCGGCCTAAACCGAAATTCGGTTCTGGTATCGATTATAGTTTTATTTGATATTTACCTAAAACCCGGCGGGTATACCCGAACAACTTGCGTAGTTTATGTACAACACCCTCGCTAGTTTTTTTTGAATAAAATCTTTTGCTTGATTGTTAAAAAAAAGTGTCAAAATATTTTGTACTTTTGAGTTGGAATTGTTGTAGGTTACTTCGATTTTGAAACTATCAAATGCTTTTACGTTGACTAATTAGTGAAAATATACTGAGGTGTATCTGATTAACATTTTGTACAAATTACTACATCATTTTGATAAAAAAAAAATAGTGATCCATTAGATATGGTGTAACAACAACAAAAGTATCACAATCATCAAGTTAGTTAATCAGCCTTACTTCTTGCGACTAAAAATAATAAGATCATCAATTTTACTCGTAAGCACAAATCCGTATAAATGCAGTGCACTTATAAAACTTGAAACTTCATGTGTACATATATGCAAAAAACATAATACTTAGAATAGAACATTTATAAAACTTGATTACACATGAAACAAATTTTTAACAAAAAAGGTGGGGTGCGTACCACATGATACAATAAGAACTAATGTAAATTGATCCGTAGTACTTACTTTGCTTGATTCAAAAGGCCAACAGAGATGAAACAAGTTGCAATTGCACGAGTAGGTAGGGTCATATATATGGTATCGGAATATTTAATGAAAAAAGAAGGAAGAGTGTATTGTTTGGCTAATTAAGATCTTTCTATCAGTGAATTTAATATTCCAGACAGGCTCCGTCTTCTCTTTCTCACTTCAAACGAAGGAAGAAAGCTTAGAGATGATACTTTCTTGAAAAAAGTGCACTCCATTTGTCATCCCAATCACGTTCTCTAAAAACAAACTAGAAAAAGAAACTACAAGTAAAATGTTCATTTTTGGAACAATACTTGCTTGTTTTGTTGAAATATAATGGATTCTTAACCTCTGTATATATATAAATATTGTAACTAAAATAGGAAAATATAGCGGGTCTCTCCTTAACTAGCTTTCATAGCCTTTGTATCTTGACTTCCTGACCTCTTCTCGAATAATTAGGAGTGCTGAGACAAAAGCTTTATCAACGTTTGGAGACAAAGACACCGAATACTTTTCTTCGGCTTTCACTTCTTTTTTGTGTGTAACTTCAGTATGTAGCTGCAATGTAATCGAGTAAATTGTGGAATGGTTGGTAGTAATTAACTTTGTTAAATTGATCATGTTTATAGAAATTAAAATGTTATTCTTTCAGCAACCCCTGACAACAAAGCTTCACCTGACAGGCATCATGTGGTATGTGAATCACGTACTCAATGCCTTTAGGTGCTTTGCATAAGAGCTTAGTGCTTACAAGAAGCCAATCCACATTGGGATTGAAACTCCAACACTAGGTGTGTTGAGACCTGAAATCTCGACAATTTGAGCAATGATAACACCCCGGAACAAATTCTGCTACTCTTAAGGCTACTAGATTGATCAAATTTGTGATGGAAAATCACATCACTAAATCCGTCTAAATTATAGACGTTAATATAATGAACCGTCATTAATGAAAAACATCAAGCAATTAAATTTCATACCTTGGCAAGAATTGTAGATTTATCTTGAGCCATTATGATGGAAGTTCCATCTTTAAAATTGTCATAAACTCTATAATTGAATGTGCTTTCAGTCATATTGGATGTCATGAATACATCATATCGGAGTGATTTGAAGCCTCTTGTCTTCTTGACGGTGAAAAGCCTATGGTGCTCATGGGGATCTCCCTTGTAGGCTTGACGTCTTCTATGCATGGTGATATGCTGCATTTATGTATTAGGTGATGAATATATCTCAACGTCGAGAAATTATACTTGTCAGTGTTTAATAATAATATATGAGAAATTACCTTTGTTGTGAAGGAAATGACTGGTGCGTCTGTCTCGTCTACCATAATGCGTTTGCCACTCTTCTTCTTACTTGCTTTAAATATAACATTTCCCTCTTCGTCACTGATTTTGAACTTGTCTTCCACCTTGCCATTCTTTTCAAACGTTAACTCCATAGGATAGTTGGAACAATATTTCTGATCTACAATTACCACAGGATATTCAGGCTCCTTGAATACTCGATCAGGGGTTCCTTTACTAGAATGATCGTCATCTGATGAATAACATGGGCTAGACGCGTATGGGCTAGACATTTTCACGGCTGTTCTGAGCCCAGATATGTGACGATCACCACCAAAGGGGTTGAACGCCAACGAGCAGTGGTTGTTTACGGAATAGGTTGGTTCCCATAGACATTAATGTTGCAGATGAACCGTCATCCTTGAAATATAACTACTGTCCGACCGACGTTAACGGGTTTTCATCAATACGTTTGGCTACTTTTAATTCGTGTTTTCCTCTTGACTTAATCAAAGATAGATAGTCAGGTTCTTTAGCAAAATGTTGTACCTTTGAATATATATTCCGAATATAGTGCAATTTTGTTCAGAAATCTAAATAATAGAAAAATATACATTTTTTAGTTTTAGAACATTAATTTGTTAGAGCCATTTCTGTTTTTTATAGTTTTAAATTTATGCACTTGTTACATTGCAAATATATATATATATATATATATATATATATATATATATATATATATATATATATATATATATATATATATAATTTGATTAAAACTTCAGAATACAAATAAAAAATATATAATATAAATAGATCTTGCAATTTGATACATAATACCACTAATGAGATACAAACAGGACACCATTTTTCCGTGTATCATACACATGGCGAACATGAATTACCAACTAAAACATGTTGAACATGAATTACCAACTAAAACATTTGTAAGACAAATTAAATTTGTGTGACACATGACATGTATAAATGCATATATACACTTGTCACGCTACACATATAAACACGAATTAAATGAATACTTTCGTAGCTTAAAAATAGTATTAGAAAATTCACCAAAATATTTTTTCGAAAATATAAAGGTAGCTTCTATAAACCTTATTGTAACATCCATAAAATTTCACAAAAATTTAAACTTTTTTCAAACCAACCAAAATCATAATTGTTTACATTGTAGTTTTCAAAACATGTTTCACATCAGAATTTTTCCCAATATCACAAAACATCACATGAGTAGGTGCACGATCAAGCCTTTGTCTTCCCACGATCATCTGAGGTACCTGAAACATAACCCAAAACTGTAAGCCTTTGTCTAGACCGCCGCACCGGGCCTTCATTCTGTCTTGACCGTTCTCAGGGCCTTCGGCCTGACTGGTCCGCCTCACAGGCCTTTAGTCTATCCGGGCCGCCCTGGGTCTGTTGGCCTTCTACACACAGCAGGACCGCCTCAACCCAACAAACCATCACATATCCAAGTATAACATAATCAAACATAGCTAGCATATACAGGCAGTCATATAAGTCTAGCGGATTACTATAGCATAACACATCCTATCTACCAGAACGCCAATCTAACATATCACTACAACATAGTAAACATAGAATAAACCAGGATAACAATCCAAAGAGCCGACATTGGTGCCTTCGACCCGAGAGTATAGTGAGGACAACTCACCTCATACTGATGAATCGCACAGAAACCTCCGGCTGCTGGCCCACTAAAATCCTCGAATTATCACAACAAATAAACATCCAATTAATAATTGGATTACCCTCTTTGACTAATAACCCATACATAGGGTAAATGGCCACTTTACCCTTTCCCCAATTGGAGCAAGACCCACACCCAATCCTTGATCCAAAAGCCCAAAATTATTCAAGACCCATCATTGGCCCAATTTTCCAAATTGGGCCCGACCTTTTTTTTAAGTCTTATCCTATGGTCCAACCCTTCACTTGGCCCAAAACACTCATACTCAGATAGTCCAATAAGGGCCCAAGTACACAAGCCCAAAAGGTGGCCCAAAACTTGAAGCCCAAAATCTGAAATCCAACAGAAGGCATACGTGGGAAGTACTCCTTCGATACGCGGGGCGTACACCAACCCACATCGGGGAGGCTGACTGAGTATGTGGGGCGTACTCCCCCTTATGTGGGGCGTACCCTCGTAGATCCAAAAGTCTCATTTCATGATTAATGGCTTAAGCACTTGAGCTCAAACTACCGATCCATGGTCCAAATGCTCCCTGGAGTCATAAAGTCATAAAGTCTCCAACTTTATGACTTTACACGTCCAAAAGTTCTTAATACAAGGTCTTAATCCAGTAGAACCCTTCTACCAAATGCATGGGACACTTCTAGCCATTAGGACCTCATTTTTATGATTAAGGGCCCCTCCAAGCGTCTGAAAGGACGACTCAAAACATCCAGAACATCCCATGCTGAAGATGGAGCATTTGGGACCAAAAAAAGCATAAAAAGACCCAAACATGAGATCTATCAAACAAACAATAAAGGTATGAACTTTATACCTTTAGATGGTGGAGAAGAGAGCCAAACTTCCAGATCCATTCCTTATTTCAAGCTTCTTGATGCACTTCTCCTTCCTCTAAAACACCAATAACACACTTTAGGGCTCTCAATCTCACTTAAGGGGGCTAGGGTTTTTGCAAGAACAACTCAAGGACTTGGAGGCTGAAAGGATAAGGGTAAATGGCCCATAAAGATGTTTAAATACTCCTCAAACCCTAATATTTAGTTTTCACCCGGACACCAGTACACCCATCGTACATGCCCAGCGTACTAGGGCGCGCCCTAGTTCACTTAGCGTACTCACATGTACGCTAGGCGTACACCTCCTGCCCCAAAATTACCATTTTGCCACTAGGGCTTCTTAGGGCTAATTCTAGCCAATCCAATGACCAAAATGACATAAATTAAAACCAAGGAAAGGATTTGAAAATACCTGAAACCTGGGATGTTACACTTATTCATTGCCTCTTTGAAGTTATTGGAACGGTTTTATGAATGTAATGTTATTTTGTTCAAAAATCCAAATAATAGCAATGTTTCGTGTTTGTTAAAATGTCTAGTTAATGAACATACTTGTGAATGTAATGCAAACATACTTACGTGACTCTTTGATTGTTAACGAAATTATATTTTGGACCAAAACATCTAGGCCCAAAACATTTCTTTTTTAAAATATAATTTGAAAATATTTTTTGCTTTGAATGGGGATTTACCTATCATCTTGTTGGGTTTCTTTTGGGTTTTTTAGCTCATGAGAAAGGCATAATTTTATTTGTTGCCCTTATTTTCTTTAGTTCACAAATTCTCAGCCACCACGGAGTGAGAATAACAAAAGTAAGGGTTTTTATCTTTCTTGTTTTTTGAAAATACATCTACAGTGATTGGTAATTTGCTGGAGATCCAATAATTTGTTTTATTTGATTTTCGGACAGCAGCTTCCGAACATCGAGGCCTTCATATCCAACGATTGAATTTTTGAGATCTGTTCCAGAGGCTCGGGAATCACTCATTTGTTAGTTGCTGGACAACAACCCATATTTTGGTTATATTCTTCTTTGTCTCTGCTTATTTGATTCCAAACACTTGATGTTATTTGTTTCAAGTGTTTGACGAGTATTTTATGCCTCTGGTACATATAGAGAATACTTTGTATTGCTCAAATGTTGGTGATAGTGGCTTTGAAGCGACTCTAATAGTCTCGTGGTTTTTACTCTGGGCTTGAGGGGCTTTCACGCTTAAATTATGGTGTCTCGTATTAATTGATTACTTATTGTGTTGGGCTGATTTTCTTCGTCATTTAACATGCATTAGGGTTGTTTTGTTGCAAAATAAAATACCATATTTGTTTACATCCTCGAATGTTCATTCAAGACGGGAGAAGTTTAGTCAAACAAAGTGTTATTCTGTATTGTTATCTACATTTGTGGCCATGTTTTTCCCATCAGAATGGTATTAGAGCTTGGGTTCTTGTTATTAGGATACTTGTTTGAACAATGGAAGCTAATACAAGTAGGATTGTCAATTTGAATGGTTCTAATTATCATGTTTGGAAAGTAAAGATGGAAGATCTTCTTTATGTGAATGATTATTATTTTCCCGTATTTAGTATGGATAAACCTGGTGATAAAAAAAATGAAGAATGGAATATTTTTTCATAGAAAGGTTTGTGGGTATATTCAACAGTGGGTTGATGATAACTTTTTAAACAATATTAGTATGGAGACTAATGCTCGTACTTTATGGAAAAAGCTTGAGCAATTGTATGCTCAAAATACTGGGAACAATAAATTGTTCTTGATTAATCAACTAGTTGGCTTGAAGTACCATGGTGGAACTCCTATTAGTGGTTATTTGAATTATTTTTATGGAGTTATTAAATAGCTTGTAGTAATAGGTATCAAGTTTGAAGATAAGATACATGGTTTATGGCTCCTTCGCACCTCACTCGATTATTAGGAAACTTTTAGGACATCCTTGTCCAACTCTGCACCAAATGGTATTATAACAATGGAATTGGCTTTAGGCTGTGTTTTAAATGAAGAGATGAGAAGAAAGTCACAAGTTGTCTCTTCACATTCAAATATCTTGGTCACAGAAAGCAAGGGGTGGTATGTAGGGTAAGATCATCTATTCGATTGGCTATATAATTTTTGACTATGTACGACTATGCATTCGTAATGAGATTCATCGTTATTAGTAAAAACATTTGTTTGCTTCGTATGAGGACTAATGGTATATAACTTGTATGATGGTTTGAAGACTATAGTTTGTATGATGTCTAAGATCCTATAGTTTGTAGGAGGAATGATATTATAGAGTTATATAATGGTTGAGAGCCTACAATTGGTATGCAAGATGACATCATGAGCTTTTTCTTGTATGCATTATATGTGGGATAGAATATGTGGTCTATTGGGGAACGCACTAAGCTTTACTCTTAAGTTGTTAAGTTAAATGTTTTTCTCAGGTTGTTCAGGTGTGAAAGGGAAGGACGTTGCGTGATTGTACATTCTAATCGGTGTTATATTACTGTTTTTTGAGACTTCTACTGGTATTTTTGATTCGAAACTGATTTGATGTCACGATTTCTGATTGTGAAACAAATGGATGTTACACTGTTTATTTAAAGGATGGTTTTTGGATGTTTAATCCTTTTTTAATAATAAAAAATGTATTTCAAAAATTGGGACATTAAACCTAGCTCTGATACCATTTGTAACATCCCCTTCTTTATAAAGAGGCATATTTGTTATATTGTGTAGGAAATTTATGGTGGTAAACATATAATTTGAGGTACACATATCTAAACTTTGACAAAATTGACGAGTCATCGATGGGTTCGTTGGTGCTGATGAT